TACTCAGAGCTAAGAAGACGAATCAGGCTCAAATCACTCCTGTTAATGGCCTGCGGCACCCCCCCCCCCCTCAAAACCTGCGGCTGCCGCAGGTTTTGAGGGGGGGGGGGTGCCGCAGGCCATTAACTATATCAAAAAAAAAACATTTTTAGCGGACAGTATTTATATGGATCGATAGCCTAGATCACCTAGTTTTCACAGGAGTGATTTGAGCCTGATTCGTCTTCTTAGCTCTGAGTAATATTTGGTGAAAGCACAGCGATCAAAAGCGAAAAATGGGAAAAAACGAGATTTTGGTTGGCTTCTAATTCAATAGTTTGGAGGTCTTCTGAAGCGGGATTCCTGAGGTGGACAAAGAAGGAGTAGTGCTTTGTCTTGAGTGCGAAAACGGATAGCTAATTCACCTTTGAAACAAAGTTAACCATGTTGGAATTTGACCATTTCACTTAGGTAGCCTAGTATCTTGAATCTTCAGAATTCGCTCAAACTTTGTCTACAGGGGTTAATTGACATGCTCATTATGGATATGTTGCCCATTATGTTTGACAGGGCCTCCAAGTAATGCTATCTTAAGGGTATATTCCAGGGGGGGGGGGTCTTATTAAGACAGCAATCAGGGGGGGGGGTCGTAACCAGCGATCGTGTGCCACACCCCTTGCTTGACCCTGATCATCACCAAAACTTATTGACAAGCAAGAGCAGTCAAACAAGAAATTACAAAAATTCGAAATGTGACAGTCACAAATGAAGGGGCAAGTATACTAACACTCAGTACAAAGAAGTCAAGGACGATGTATAGGGTAGTATATAGTCTGCAATAATTATATGGGCTCAATCAAACAGCTGACAAGGCATCAATCTAGCGACCATGACTGCTGGATTTACTGGATTACTTGCTATGGAAGGAACTGTCTCAACCATGGTGTACTGAGGCTATTAGATCTTCATTTTCTCATGCGCAGCAACGAGCAGAAAAATCTAGTGACTTTATGGATTTGTAAAAGTGATATGAATTGGGATAATTACTTGCACTGGGTGGGATTTATCACCCACTCGATTTCAACTTGTTGTGTTCGCAACCGTTAAATCCTCGTCAAAGCCTACATTATGTACTATTAGGTTGTCCCAAAAGTAAACTCCATTTTTATATGAATTAAGCTGTTCTTGCTTTCCTGATAGATGTGAGGTACTATCCGATGGAGAGGGGCAAGCTCTACAAAAAGGCCACCAAGGACCCACCTAAGTCGTAATCCAGGCAAAATTTGTGGCCAAGAATCAAAATTTTTCAGCTACCCTAAAAATCGGATCTCCTTACAGAAAATTCCTACGGATTTCCAACTTGGTCTTTATATAGCAGACACATAGTAGTTTCCAAAAATGTATTTGATGGATTTTTTCTGGGGTTCAGAAATGGGAAACAAAGGTGGTCCGAAAATACCAAAATGCTACTTTTTTCGGTTTTCTATGTAAAACTCGGTATTTCTCGAATATGAGAACACATACAGGAGTAAGGTTTTAAAATTGTACTTAGTAAGGCTTGTAGCATACAATTACATATGTGGAAGGGGCTGGGGGCGAAGTTTGCCATTTTAAACAATTTTTGTTTCTCGCTTTCTATGCTTGGAAAAAATTCGGCAAAAGCACATTTGAGTACTACTATGTGCCTACTGTCTAATGAGCAAGTTGGAGGTCCGTAGGGTTTTTCCTCGCGAAAATTCAATTTTCATGTGACAAAACTTTTTTTTCGATTTTGGCTTTATTACATGAAATGCGACTTAGGCGGACACTTTTGTATTTATACTGGTGGTATCTTTGTAGAGCTTGATCTGCTCTATCGAATGATACCCCAAGTCTACCATTAAAGCAAAAACAGCTTGAATTATTCAAAAAGGATTTTATTTGTGGGACAACCTAATATTTATCGTTTTTGAACGGTCTTTTTCTCAAGAGCAGCCCTCAATCTGCAAGATAGAGTTAGTCACAGATAATTACCCTTTTATGAGTCGGAATTGTCCTGTATTTTCTATAGAGGTCAGTTGCCCAAACATCCTGATCAAGGCTCGGCATGAGGTGGCTAGTTAAAAATGCAAATAACGAAGTCCCCCTTGATTTTTGCGAATTTTTACGAAGTCGCCTTTGACCCTAGTCCAAATCCCTAAAAAACCCCCCAAATTCGAAACGTCGACCAAAAAACCTCGCAAATTTTGTGGCTTTTCGGCCACAAAAACAAAACCCCATTGCTTTTTGGCCCAAAACGATAACCAGCTTGCTTGTAAGCCACTTGTGCCGAGCCCTAATCCTGATATGATTAACATGATTTACTGCGCAACCTAGGACGACTAACCTTAGAACATAATAAAACTTGGCATAATTCTGAAAAAAGAACTACATTTCTTTGTTGGTGATTAGCTTCTAATGCAAGATCCAAAAAAAATAGATGGCTCATCTATAAAGCAAAACACTCACATAACACCACATCGTGCTATGTGTATACAGCATTACTCCAACTATATTACTCAAAAATTTTCGGTACATTTCCGTTATTCGGACCCATTTATTTCATAGAAGGGTATTGCTTCTTTTCTTGCACCAAATTTCGCAAAAACTTCACAGGATAAAGAGTCGACGTGTCAAAAAAATTGACATGTTATCTACTTATCAAACAGGTTTTATCAAAAATTTATTTATCCTACCTATCAATGTAACTCTAATGTTTTTTATTCAATGACGATCCCATTTTCTGTCAACAGTTTCATGAATTAGCTTTACCAATATGAACGTAACATTCTTTGTTTGATAAACACATTAGATTTTCTCAAAACAGAGAAGTGGGTTTGTTATATCATCTAAACGACGAAACAATTGGCAGCCAGGTACTTCAAGCCATCATTTATAATCTTTACCGGCTAGATATGCATGGTATAAACAAGTGAAGAGCAGGATTTCTTTATATGATGGTTGAAAGCTATACTAGTGCGGTTCATAATTATACCAACACCCCAAATTTTAGAAGTTTCTGGACTTTTTGGACGAAACTCAAAAAGCCGTTGGTACCACGCGAAAGAGCACAGCCGAAAACGGCACATAATCCATAAGAATGTCAATCTTAGGAATGTTTTTGCGCCTAATGCGAATTTTTAGCGGTTCATAATTATACGAACACCTCAAACAAGGGTCCATTTTTCATTCAAGATTGTGATCTTTTGAGTCCAATTTTTTTTATAGAGTTACAGTAACAAAGTCTGAAGTATTTGCTACACACTGAACCCACTGCAGTCCAAAAAGAGGAGCGTTACTTTTTTCAAATGGCTCAAATGCTTTTGGAGTTATTGCGCTCCAAAAACATCTGTTCTTCTGTGGTTTACGCACTCTAATCAGCTTCTACTGAGGCTATGAGATACAATAAGCTCTTTCGATAGATATTTTGTTTGACGCTTGGAAAATCCTTGTGTTTTGGTGCCGGTTTAAGCCACGCTCCAACCTCACCCTAGAGTTAGCACGATTTCGAGCCTCAAAACTCAGCTTCTCTCTCGCGTAAACATTTGATAGAAGCAGCTGCATTGTTTGCATGATGATGTATCCGTGCCAACTTTTTGGGTTTTTTGTAGAACTGATCTTGAGGCTATGGAGCTACAAACCAAATAAAGGTGTGATTGCAATAGTAAAAACAGTGGTTTTGGTGAAATGACGTCTGCGTGGCCAAAACAAACGCTCAACGCTACTGATTCTTTCTAGCCAAATACACAGTCGTGTGAACTTCAACATATATGTGCTTACTTCATTATAGGGCTTCAGAAGCTGTTTTAAGGCTCGAAAGCGTGCTAACCCGGGGTTGAGGTTAAAACTTGGCTAAAAGACGGCATGAAAACGCAAAGATTTTCAAGCTATCATAGACTTGGTGGAAGCTGATTAGAGTGCGTAAACCACAGAAGAACAGACGTTTCTAGAGCCCAATGACTCCAAAAGCATTGGGAGCCATTTGAAAAGTAACGCTCCTCTTTTTGGACTGCAGTGGGTTCAGTGTGTAGCAAATACCTCAGACTTTGTTACTGTAACTCTACAGAAAATTTGGACTCAAAAGACTACAATCTTGAATGAAAAATGGACCCTTGTTTGAGGTGTTCGTATAATTATGAACCGCTAAAAATTGCATTAGGCGCAAAAACATTCCTAAGATTGACATCTATTTCCATTGATCATGTAGATACCGTTTTCGGCTGTGCACTATCGCGTGGTACCAACGGCTTTTTGAGCTTCTTCCAAAAAGTCCAAAACTTTCAAAATTCAAGGCGTTCGTATAATTATGAACCGCACTTACTAAGATGTCTTAACAAACGTCCAAAATTGTTTTGCCTTTTTTGAAGAAAAAAACCTTAAACAGCTCTCGAATCATTTCAAATGCTCTCATACCTTACGGAAATGATTTGAAAAACATGTCAACTTGGCCCCAAAGGTGTTAATTTTTATCTTGACAAGTGGCAAGGAGACAGTTCTCACAAAATTTACGAAAAAAATTTCTAGGCTGAAGCATGTACTTCATGAGAACATTATGAAAGGGTCCGGATAACGGAAAAGTACCAAATCTTTAAAAAATGGTGTGTCCTGAGTTCTCGAATTTGTGGTTTTCAGGCCGACACCGAACCAACTGGGTTGGTTCGAAGCATAAATTTCGAAGAGTTCGCGTAAGTCTTGGAACTTTTTGTTTGGACCACTAGAACGCCCAAAAATCTACCACGCTCAAACAGAGCCTTCAGTCAAGCCAAAATATGTTTTTTTTTTTACTTTTTGCTGTACAAATGCCTTAAAATATGACTTTTTGCTCATTATTTTGATTGAATGAACGTTTTCCTACCAATTTTGAAGTCAAAGAAGACTCTTTGCAATGTAACAAAGACGGGGGACCTCGTTTCGAAAAAATCTTCAAACCAACACAAGCCGGGCCCTGGCCCTCATTTGAAACAATGAAGTATGTACGTGCTTAGCGCGCTCGAATCGCGCTAAGCTGCTCCACTCGAATTTCTTTTCCATGACGTAAGAAGAGCAGGTGACCAGCTAAATTTCATTCTCTAGTCTTTTTCACTGCCAGGCAATAGCTGCATTGAGGCTATGGTTGTGCAGCAGCTCAACAGTGCCGAAGAGTTCAACAAATTCCTGCTCGACTGGAAGTAAGTCACTATTTCGAAGTTTCAGATAGTTCTTCATGCTAAGCTTCTCGTTGTAGACTTGCTGTAGTGCATTTCTATGCATCATGGGCGCCACCATGCGAACAAGTTAATAAAGTTCTCAAAGACCTTCAGGTACGCTGGTCATCAGTCTTTTTTCAAGTTTACACCTATTTTCTTTCAACATACAGGACGATTACAAATCGTACCCTGTTGGATTCGCTTTCATAGATGCTGAAGGTGTGCCCGATGTCTCTGCCAAACACTCCATTGCTGCTGCACCTACACTGATATATTTCAAGGTGTTTCCGTTCATAAATCATAGATTGAGTACCACATTACTTCTCTCATTTGGCAGGGAGGTAAAGAAGTGGATCGTGTCAATGGTTACAAACCTAGTGAAATTGAATCAAAGCTGACTCAGCATTCATTTGACATTGCAAGTAGTGGACAGGCAACAAATGAAGCGACTAAAACGGCTAAAAAAGAGGTAAGAGGTCCGCTATATAATGATGTTGCGAATACCGGCGCCCGAACATTCAAACCCTGGGCGCAATCTCAGTTTTTATTCATTAGAAGTCGGAGTAGCCATTTGTAATGAGCTGTATATTGCTAAGCGTAATTCAATCCCATTTGACAATTTCGTCTACAAAGCATTTTGTTTTGAGAAGATCTGAAGTCACGAACTAGAAGCAATAGCATATGGAAGAATCTTAACCTGAGTCCTCTGTGCGAGAGGCGAACTGCAGCGCGCCATCTCACCGTCTGCATAACCTGTGATCGTAGCATCATATTCAGACTTTCAACTTCCTAATCTTATCTGAGCGTCATGTAATTGACATGATTTGTAAGGCCCGCGCAGGCGGTTCCGTCTCGTATATATTGCTGATGTTTGTCTGACTGACCATTACCGACCACCTTTCTCATCGTTTCAGGATTTGGAGACACGATTAAAAAAACTAATTGGGATGCATAGGCTCATGCTCTTCATGAAAGGCACTCCAGATGCGCCTCGATGTGGTAAGCTTCAGATGTCATTTCTCGTTAACTTTTGTGTCTTTTTATCACCACTTTCATAATTATTATTGAGAGAATTGCCTTCGCACTGAGAATTTGGCAAACTACAAAATTATTTGTTTCATTTTCCAAGTTCCGTTTTGTTAAAACCTTGGCATTGTTGATACGTTTCAATCTTGCTATGCCGTACAGGTTTGTTAGGATGGTATATTTATTCAAACCGGCCTAACGTTTCGGCGCCTTCGCCGTCCTCAGAGGCCTAAAAAGAACCCAAAGCATCACCTCCAACATCAGACCATCAGATGTCTCCTCTAGCTTGGCTAGTTTCGACTTTGTTTCAAATTCAGTCCGCAAAAACTCTTCAGACAGAATTGAACCCACCGTTATACCACCGCTATATGATGTGTCCGCACCGGAAGGAATTGACAGAGCGACCGGAAATGAGTGACAGAAGCGGACAAGTGAGGGATACTGTAGAGAGCAGACAGAGGATATGCTATCTATTATCTACAGCTCACATAGTGCTACGAACGGCAGAAAGTCGGCTGTAATAGACAAGCACTCGTTTTTATTATTCATTTCTGGATTCTTCGAGGATATCCAGAAAGATTCTAGTGCCTTTCTAGCCGAGATCTCTTTCTCATAGCTTAAGATATTGCACTTGACTCTAAAATCTGCTCCATTATGTGCTTCGCCTTTATGTCTTCCCAAGGGTGTTGCTAAGCTCTTGCGTCTCATGCTTGTCAGATGTTCCTTTAGACGTACACTTAGTACCCTGCCAGTTTCGCCAATATACAACGCGCCGCAGTCCATGCATTCGAGTTGATATACAACACCCACTTTTGTACACTCCCCTTCTTTGCCATACGGACACACTATGCATTGTTCAGTTGCGCATTTCCTATCGTAGAGTCGATTTCGTACGAGCTGCTTTTTAATGTTATCGTTTGGTATGTTAACCAAAATGACTTCATTGAGCAGCTGTGCGCGAGCAATGCATTGATGAAAGGCCGCTGTGATCTTATCAGAGATGAACGGGAGGCATAATGGAATTTTGTTGTCGTTTCGAGTGCGGCTAACCTGCGCAAGACGTCTAGTTCGTGGTAATGCGCAATAACCATTACTGCGTGCGATCTCTGAGGCTAAGTGTCGTGCTTGTCGGCGTTCATCCTCTCCCGAGCACACCACGGCGGCTGTTTTGAACATATGTTTGATTACAGCATGTTTAACGCTACTAGGGTGCGCAGACTTAGCATTGATGAGGATGTTTTTGCAGCTATCCTTGCGGTACCATTTCAACGTTACAATGCCATTGGTCAACTTGATAAGAGTGTTCAAATAAGGCAACCATCCTTCTCGTGGTTTTTCGCGTGTGAGCCTGATGTACTCGGACTGTTTGTTGAGAATTTCAAAACATTTGTCCATCTCGGACTGTGTCGCTGTGATCAGACAACAGTCGTCGATGTATCGACAGTACATCATAGGCATTCGGCTCAACACTGGTTCTTCAATTTTGCTCATGAAGCAAATGGCGAGAATGGGTGCCAATCTCTGACCCATAGCAAGCCCTCGGATCTGGGAGTAATACTCTCCGGACCATCGAAAGATATTACAGTTCAAACAGGCGCTTACTAGGGTCATTACTCTCGCTTTGCTTAGCCCAAACATATTGATGGTTCCGGCATGTTTGTCTAGCATTTCCGATAATGCCTGTAACGCTTGGTGGTTTTGAACATTTGTGTAAAGTGCGGTAACGTCAAATGATTCAACCACGCAGTTGGAATCAAGCTTTGCATTACGGATTTGCTCAACAAACTCCATCGTGTTGGATAAATGGGCTGGCACCTTAACCAGTAGTTGGCTGAGAATTTTGTTTAAAAACCATGATATACGATCGGAAGGGCCGCCTATAGAACTAATAATTGGTCTGATCTTATAAGTTTCCGCCGACATCGAATGCATACTCTCCAAGGATAGCTTATGTGTTGTTATGAGACTATAAAAGACTGGACAACATGGATTCTCTAATTTCAATCTACTGATAAATCTGTCATCAAAACCAGCCGATTTGCATATTGCAGTCCATGTGTCATTCAGCCTTCTGCATTGAGTATGATAATCTTTTTCAGAAACAGCCTTGTAGAGCGAAGTGTCCGCTAAATGTGCTCTCGTAATATCGCGATCTAGACTTTGGGGGATTACTACAAATTCGCCGCCTTTATCGCTTACGGACAAGCGCACAGAGCCTTTTGATATGAGTTCACGTATCTCTTTAAAACCACGTTGCTGTTGTTGAGTGAGATTTTTCTGGTGTTGTCGTTTGAATTTGTTCAAAACTTCCAAAACCCCAGAAGATAAGATACGGAATTTTATATCAACTTCTCTTACGGGCTCGGGTTGTTTGTAAAACGATCGCGGAAATGGAATTGCGGGTAGTAGTCTCCTAGTTTCGAGTGCACTTGATTGCAGACTATTTGCATTCCTCGCTTTGATTCTGAGCGAGTCTCTAAGCTTATGCAACCCTCCAACTATCTTTCGACAAGTTCTAGCATTGATCGACTGCGCAGGAGCAAATGAGGGACCAAGGCTCAAAAGGTCAATAGCATTAGGCGAAAGTTGAGCGTTGCCTATGATGGTGACTCTGGCCGTCGTAGCATCATTAGATGAAACTGATTTGGAGCAGTGGTCTGGTTGGTTATTCATGTCATGGAGATAATTTCTACGAGCATCATTCAAAAGGCGGTCGTACTTGGCTCGAAGTTTCGATTTGACATCAGACCGAATCATATCGCAGATTATCTTCGAGCCATCTTTAATCCTCTCCCATGTCCCGACTAGGCAACAACCGTTCGCAGGCCTCCTCTTTTACAACACATTTTAACAAGGTAGAATACAATGACCGTTGCTTTTCTTTGATAACAAACAAAACTAAAACATGCCTAAAACATGCCGGAACCATCAATATGTTTGGGCTAAGCAAAGCGAGAGTAATGACCCTAGTAAGCGCCTGTTTGAACTGTAATATCTTTCGATGGTCCGGAGAGTATTACTCCCAGATCCGAGGGCTTGCTATGGGTCAGAGATTGGCACCCATTAGTACTCTGCGTTGATACCACTGCTT